CTCTCTCTCTCTCTCTCTCTCTCTCTCTCTCTCTATATATATATATATGGGTGTTATGTATGTATAAATGCCCCTAAAAAAATCCATCACTGCTTACTGCACAAATAAAAGGCGGCTGAATGAAACTAGAAGATCAACCATAACTAAAACCAAAATAATATCATTTCATAAGAAAAAATTAAAAAAAAAATAATGAAAGTTCATATAACTCAATTTCTGCAAAACAAAACGCATCCATCATCCATATACGCAACTCACTCCTAGTCTCTGTGCCTTGCTGCTGAAAACACCTAGTGGTCTTCTTCTTCCTCAAGCTATACAATGGGAGAGACTGAAACACCACACAAGCAGCCAACACTGAGTCCATTAACGCAAGGCACTTGTACTTGGCTTGTAATTGCTGAACGAATCATTAAACGAAGAGTTGTCGCTCATCTGCCATCTGTGAACCATACTAGTGAGACTTACCGTCGAATCGCCATCATCGTTGTGATCGCCATAGTCGCCGGGACACCACCGGTCGGCTATGGGAGACAACATGGTGACGACGTTACTCATTTCAGGCCTGAAGTTAGGTTCGCGAGCGGTGCAATGGTAGGCAATCTCGGCTACCTCTGCAATGCTGCTGCGAGATTCCTCATCGTTGAAGATAGAAGAATCGACGAATCTCTCCAACTTGGCGATGTCTCTCGGATGAATCCGGCGAAATGCTGCCACTAAATTTGCATCTTCATCGGGGACGGTGTCATCGAGTACCTTTCTGCTTGTCATTAGCTCCAACAGTATCACACCAAATGCATAAACATCAATTTTACGAGTGATCTTTCCTGTAGCTGTGAGAAAATCAATCATAGAATCAGTACTCAATGAAATAGAAAGAAGATAAAGACTAGAAGGTAAGAAAACCATAAGCATTACGTAGATTGCTTGCACACATGGAGTTATTTTTTATTAGATTCATTGGAGTTATTATGCTTCAAGATGTTATCATATTGATATAATCACATGTAGTCAAATGTGGTCGATATTCATGGGAGAAATTTATAGTGTTTATAACTGCAATATGTTCTCATTATCGATGATGGCTTACTTTACTGTATATTTCTTATCGCCCACTTCTCTTGATTTTATAAAGGCATATTTATTCTAACATCAAATTTAATCAAACAAAGATGTAGCATTTTATGATTTCTAACATAATATCAGTGCCACAATCTTTTTTTATTTACTCGTGATCTTTAAAGTCTAATCCAAAAGCTCACTGATCATAGTTTTCTCTGAATACCTCGTGTTTCCAGCAAATATTAAGGCTTTCTCTACATTGAACGGGATTTGTGCTCCACAAAAAACTCATTGAAGTTGCCATTGATATCGTGCATAAACCTTATTGGCAATTGTGCGCATAGCTTTAATATAGATGATGTGCACCGACCTTGTTAACGATGGTCAGTATAGAGGTTGGCGATGGCAGGAAACAAACATGTTGGTGTCAACATCTTTCGCAATTGTTGATCTTATTAGCGATAATTTGTTTATATTGGTGTCAAAGATATGTCTCACCCTTGCTGTTGATGGTAGATTTTGTTTGTGATAGCATTGTAGCATCGACATTGATGCAACGGTGCATGTCAACTTTGTTATTAATTATAGACATCAATATGGCTAGCAATGGTGTGAGATAAACTACGTCATCATCAATCAAAACACTGCGAATTGACCTTATTGGCAAAAACATGCATTATTGTTGGTTTCAACCATATATATCAACATTGATGACGATGGCCAACATATAAGTTATTAATGATGGTGGACTAAAATATTGTTGGCTACAACATTGGTATCAACGACGTACATCAACTTTATTAGTAACGGCTTGCATCAACGACATACATCAACCTCATTAGCTACGGCGAACGACCATGTTTGTTAGCAATGGAAGATGACAACCTACTTGGAATAGAAGTTTCGCCCATTTCTATTATTTTGCTTCTTGATAGACAAACTCTAGACACTTCCTGCAAATGCATCACAAGTTTGTTGATGTGATATAATTATTAGAGTTATTATGCTTAAAGACATTACCATATCAATATTATCACAAGTGATCATATGTTTTTACTAGTTGTGATAGGAATTTATGTATTCATTATTATCTCAAATTCTTCCTTTATTGTATTTTTCCTATTGGCTTCTTTCTTGCCTTTATTTAGGCGCGCCAAAGTCAATCAAATAAGGTGCAAATGCAAACAAGACATTCTCAATGCCCCCAATAGGTTTGTATTTATATGTATATAGTCAAAGAAGATTATGTTAGGCCGTGCTCACATTGATAGCACAATTCAGATTGCTTTGAAATGTAAAACTTTTTACTTGTTTTAAGTCAATTAGAGATGCGCACTCCTTCAAGTAGAGCAGGTGAAGGACAAAAACTACTTCGGAGTAATACTCTCAGACAGAACAAAGGAACAAAGTTTGAAGCCGTGGAAACATAGCTTACCCGTGATTCTAGCACGCCATAAGATACCATAAATTGGATATCTTAGAGACAAAATTATATGAAGAAAAATAATGGTGCAGCAAAAATTAGAGCTTAAATCATGCATTTTTATGTAATTTGCACGTTTGTTATTTCAACCTGCTAAGAACCACCTGGTACTAAAATGGAAACTAAGATTTAAAGTTATGGCTTAAGAACTGAAAACAATAAAAATCTCTGAAATTACATTTATCTACTGCACCTGAGGACCTGATTAAACATAGTAAAATGGGAGGCTGAAGTTCTTCAATTCTAGCCATTCAATACGCTTTGGATGATTGGGTTTATTTCACTTAATTTTTTGAATTTGTAATTCACAAATAGGATAATTCTAGTTATCGGTCATTTAATTTGAACTAATCTGACTGATTATTTGTAGCTTTGAGTGGGGTTTGTTTAGAAAGTGAATGGAACTTATTCCAGTTATAATTGCTTAAAAATTGACTTAATTTCCTGCAATGAAATCAATCGGAAATCAAAATTCTCCTTTAAAAACATCCTTCTACTCTACAGTATTTCTTCAAGCTTTTAAAATTCCGATCCTGTTGTTAATTATTAAAACCATTGCTACAAAACCCAAAACTATAGCAATTAGAAACCACTAATTCGATCTATTTTGTTTCCCATCTGCTGCTTACTGCTTCTGAATTGTTCCTGTTATTGCTTGTTTCTTTTTGTGCTGTGTTGCTTATTGTCACTGCTTTTTCACTTGTTCGCAACCTACAGAAGCCTAACACTCAAAAACAGCAAGCTGCTTATTGTCACGGCATGAAATCAATCCAGAAAACAATGAATCTGAAGACAGAGAATAACACTTTGTTGATGTTCGGAGGCAAAAAACAATGTGCATTTATATACATAACATCCAATTCCTATGTATTTGCATATCTAACACTTAAACTTTACTTTTACATTTATAACACACAAAACTTTCATATCACATCAAAAATACCAATATTTTAACTTTTAAAAAGTGAGAACCTTTTCATGCATAGCAAAGGTGGCATATGTGTTAAAACTAAAGTTTAGGCGTTAGACATGTAAATGCATAAGAATTGAGTGGTATGTATGTAAATATTTCAAAAACAAATGGAGAAACTGCCAGAACACCAGGAGTCCAAAATGGAGATATGTCACCTAAAAGTATCTTTAATTAATTAATTAGTATTCCTCATTATTGCCTATGTATAATTAAATAAAGATAACTTATTCAATTCAGCTGAACTTATATCTTAGAAGAAGAATGCAAACAAAAAAAGGCTTCGCTTGTTTTGTCTCCTTTTGCTTCGGCTGAAAAAACAGATCAGATCTTTATCCATATCCAAATCTTTCTTTATTATCTCATTATGGTTTACTTTTTTTTCCTTGTTCTATGTAAAGACAAATATAAATAGTATAAAAAGAAAGTTTTTTTTTTCTTTTTATTATTTGTTAAGGATTAGTGGAAATAGTTGAGTATTAAATGAAAAGGATTAGCAGAATGTTTCAAATGAATAAATACATTCGTATTGGATTTTTCATAAAATATAACGGAACCACAGCAAAAAATTAAAAGATTGGTTATAGATCATTCCTTATCATCTTGGCGTTCATCATACAGTGTTGCAACTATTTCATTTTCACGAGTGTAAGATTGTTATTGCCGGTCCCAAGTCCGAATATGAAAAATGGAGGGTTGCGTTAAGTAATCGACAACCAACATAAAACTTGTCGAAACAATCATAACATGAATCTTTTTGATCATTATGTAATTGCTATAGTGTCTCTTGGAAGCGATGTATTGTATGATATGAATACAGTTAAAAATGTGCAAGAGCCGCTAATATTGATTATTAGTTCTAGATTTTAAGTACTCAACATTGATTATTAGTTCTAGATTTTAAGATGAAGAGTTGTAAAATAAAGAATACTGAGAATCATCGTCATCGTCGTATAGTTGTAAAATAAAGAATACTGAGAATCATCGTCATCATTGTATAAATTAGATGGGATAAATTAGATGGGGGTACCTAAAAGACAAATAAAATTATTTTTATGAATAAAATTCAAGATTTCAAAATTTGGAATGATCATGAAGAAGCAAACTCTATGTGGGATAAAATAACAAACACTATTAAATAAGTGACAAAATTGTACTTGAAGAATCAAAAAAAAAATTTCTATAAATAAAATAGTTGGTGGTAGAACAATAATGTGCAAGAAAATATAAAATATAAAAAGATGTGTTATAAAAATTGGTTTAAATGTAAAAGTTTAGTTAATTGGAAAAAATATCAAACAGCAATTAGGGAGTCTAAGAGAACAATTTATGATGCCAAAAATTATGTTTTTAGTGATATTTATAATAGATTAGAGTGTGAAAAATATATGTATAATCTAGTCAAACAAATAGAAAATAAAAGTAAAGAGGGAAAAGAAAAGTAAAGATTTAACTAAAGATTTAACTCAAGTAAAAAGTATTAAAGATGAAAATCAAAAAGTGTTTCTCTTATAAAAAGATATTCAAAATAGGTGGGTGAGTTATTTTGATAAACTTTTTAAAGAAGTTTCAGAAAATAAGATCGACCTTATTGATCTTAATAGTATTAATAATAATAAAGTTTCATTTTTACCATCGCATTAGTAAAAAAAAAAGTTGAATAGGCTTTAAATAAAACCAATGGTGGAAAGTTTGTATGACCTGATGATATCCAAAATGAAGTGTGGAAATATTTAGGAGATTTGAGAGTTTCTTGATTTATTAAACTCTTTAATATTATTTTAAAAACTAAAAAGATGCTTGAGTGAAGGAGTATTTTGATCCCATTTTTAGGAATAAAAGAGATGCACAAGAGTGTGCAATTTAAAGAGGAATTAAGTCGGCGTGTCATACTTTAAACTTATGGGAGAGTGTAATTGAACATAAGTTAAGACGTATTACAAAGATTTCTAATAATCAATTTGGATTTATGTCGGGCATGTCTACTATAGAAGCCATACATTTATTGAGAGGTTTGATGGAGAAGTTCAGAGATAATAAGGAGGATCCACATATGATTTTTATTGATTTAGAAAAAGCTTACGATAAGATTCTAAAAGATATCCTTTGGAGATTTCTTGAGAAGAAAGGTGTTGATTTGATTTGTATTCAAGTCATTATAGATATGCTTACAAGAGTTGTTACTTGTGTTCGAACAGGAGGAGGATTTACCAAATATTTTCCTATTTTTGTTGGTTTACATCGGGGATCGACTTTAAGCCCATATCTTTTTGCTTTAGTTATGGATGGTCTTATTGGAAACTTAAAGGAGGATGTAC